CATCTACCAATGTGATACATGCCATCATGTGCCAGCAATGCCTCTCTGCCATGGACATTGGCCAAACTGGACAGTCTCTATGCAAATGGACACAAATCAGACGTCAAGAATTAATAACATTCAAAAACCAGTCAGAGAACACTTCAACCACTCAATTACAGACATAAAAGTGGCAATTCTTTAACAAAAAAACTTCAAAAACAGACTCCAATGAGAAACTGCAGAACTGGAATTAATTTGCAAACTGGACACCATCAAATTAGGCCTGAATAAAGACTGGGAGTGGATGGATTATTACACAAACTAAAAACTATTTCCCCATGCTAATTTTACCCCCTACTGTTACTCACACCTTCTTGTCAACTGTTTGAAATGGGCCATCCTGATTACCACTACAAAAGTTATTTTCCCTCCTGCTGATAATAACACACTTTAATTGATTTGTCTTGTTAGAGTTGTTAAGGCAACCCGCATCTTTTCATGTTCTCTGTATATACATCTATCTTTCTACTGTATTTTCCACTCTATGCATCTGCTGAAGTGGGTTTTGGCTCAAATAAATTTGTTAGTGTCTAAAGTGCCACAAGTACTCCTTGTTCTTTTTCCTAACAGATTGGTTTGTCAGCAGTCAACAATAGTCTTATTTGTCAGTCACCTAACTTCATCTCTCCTAAAATGTTAGTTTACAAAAAAGCTTCATTTAAGAAATTCACAGTTTCAATGGGGAGATTCCTGATGAAGGCTTTCAGAATGTACGTACCTTGGCACATTATGATTTTGTCGCTCTGTGAAGATCAACATTCACTGACCTTGGTGGCAAATCTTAGTTTTACCTTTGCCTGGGTTAATATTTAATTCTCAGGTCAATAAAAACTTTACTTCTTCAGTAGTCAGTTTCCTGACTATTGTCAATATTTAACTTTCAAGACAATACAGTTTGATGTTAATCTCAGCAGAAGTCAATTTTATCTGTTTAGTATCATTTTGTGCAGCTTATCTGTGAAGTCATGTAATCCCTTCTCACACTTTCCTCCACTTTTATCTCCTGCTCTTGCGGTTCTCCAGCCAACTTCTCTGAATTTTTCAGCTGCTAGTTTCCCTGTTGCTTTCCTTGTACTTTCAACAAGATTACGCCTTTCACAACATACATGGAGAATTTTTTCCTCCCAAACATTTTAAAAATTATACTTTCTCAGAAGCCCACCACTATCAACTGCCACAAATAAAATGCTGCCCCATGATGCTCTCTGAAGAACAAAAGGGCAGTTTTGGAAATAATCTGAAAGGATGGAGATGCAATACACTTTGGAGCTCTCACCAGGGGACAGGTTGCTACTACACTATGGTAGGACTAATATCATTGGGAGTCAAAGGACCTACACAGCTTTCAAGAGACACCCAGCTTCTCGTGGGATCAGGCCCTTTATAGAAAGGAACTCATGCCAGTTTTGAAGGCGACTGGGCACTTCACCTTCCCAGGTGGTCTAAACAGCGTGACAGGGGACATGAGATGAAAATAATCAATGGGAATAAGTGAAGGGATAAAAGGCAGCAAGATATAGGGCAACCTCAGTTGATGTCTGGATGTCCTGGCCAACAGAATGTAATTCAGGAAGAGTTACAGACTTAGGAGTACACGAAGATGTCTGGGTGAGAACCTACCACATCTTTCTCATCACTTCAGTGCCAGCTTTTCCAGCACCTGGCCCTAGTGAAGAAGTAATTAGACCATGTACTTTCCATACAAGGTCACCAACATACAACTCGGGGAGCATCTGTACTATACTTCAGGATACAGCCTGAGGGGGGAGAGAGCGTGTGCGGGACCCCTGTGATCCACTTGTCCAAATATCCACTGGACAGACACTATTTTCCCCATTGGCAACTGCCAATGACACCACCACGTCTGGAATACATCCGGGACCCTTCACCCCAAAGCGCCTGCAGCACCCCATCCTCCCACAACATGTCCACCCGCTGCCCCACGAACAGAGCCGTGAGGCCGCCCATCCCCTACTGGCTGGCGTGGGGATGGAAGGTCACAGTGCAGCTGCATGATGTCACAGTGCCCACGTGATGTCACAGTGACAGCTGCATGATGTCACAGGCCACGTGGGCAC